ACCAACCACCAACCAAAAAAAAAAAAATTAAAGTCCGAGAAGAATTTGACAAACCCCTGGGTTCCCATACACGGCTTTTCTTAGACGGTGGAGTTTCCAAGTCCAGTAGCATAGTTTTATAACTTCTGTTTCATATTTTATTCACAAATATTGATCCCCTCCACGGAAATATGTATGCATACATAAACGAATAACAGATACGATCCAGTAGATGTTGTGGGGAGCATGCACATTTTGTGTTCCTAAGCCCTCTATTCCACTCTCATTTCAGTTCAGGAAAAAGTGGGTTAAATCTTTACGAAAGCTAGAACTAAAATAGAACTGTGCTTTTGCATGTTTCCAAAAGCACTCCTGGCTCACTGGCATATTTCCCAGTAGCATCTACCCCATATCCCTGCTCGTCTCCCTGTAGCTGACATACCCAGGGGAGGAGAGGAGGAACCCTAAGAAATTCATGTCCCGGAGCAACAAGCCCACGTATTTTTGTGACTACTCCTGGAATTCGTGGAGAAGCATGCAGTGCAGCCAAATCAGGCGGCTGAAAACCCTCGGCCCCACACCTGACACACAGCGCCCTCCTTGCCCCTTCCCAGCCTTCCACGACAGGGAATAAATAGATTTAAATCTTTACATGGATCCCGATGTGAATGAAAACGAGATTTAAGAGACAGTTGAAGAGATTTATGGAATTTGGTTAATAAATCCTAGAAACGAATGACCCTAAGATATTTACATTTACAAAGAACATGTTAGAAGAACACATGATCTGTAGTTGCGCATGGACAGGGCCTTATCCATGGTTACCTGTGTGTAGTTCAGGTGTGAAGGAGGGGTGTGAACAAGCCAGGATGTTGACCATTCACACTTCGAGAGCCATGAGCGAGTGTGGTTGTGAGTCAATATATACTGAAGGAAACACAAACCACATCAGATCCTCAGTATTTAAATGGCATTCAGAAGTTAGAGTGACGGATGTTAAAGATTCTCTGGCACAGCACACACATAGACACAGAACAGACCGTGTCTAACTCGATTCTACGTGGACTCTATTAGAGCCTGACCAAGCCCAGGCTCTTCAGAATCCCTGCACTGTGTGTTTGGCACAGAGAATTGGATGACCGATGGATTCTCGATGTACACGTGCACTTGTGCTTGCAGTGTTGTTTCCTACAGTAAAATTTTCTTCAGTGGAAATTATTAGTGAATGAAATATTTAGGGTTTGTGTTCAATTTTCTGCTAACCTTGTGAGCTTTCCATTAGAAATTCTACTGTCTCGAAACATTTTATATGAGAATAAAAGGCAGCATGTATTGACTACTTGCCATGGGTCTGCCAAGCGATGTTTAGGCATGAGTTTTAGCATTGCCTTCCTACAGATGAGGAAACCAAGGGGCCGAGGGGCTTTTCTCCACCAAGGCAATGTCTTCTTTCTGCTGAAGCTCTTGAATGCTTCATGCAAAGTTGAGAACAAAAGATGAGTAGGGAACAGCCACTTGATAATTTCTTCTTCTTTCTTCCCCCTGCCTTCCTCCCGGTACTGAAGCTTGAACTCAGGGCCCGGGTGCTGTCCCTTAGCTTTGGTGCTCAAGGCTGATGTTCTACCATTTGTGCCACAGCTCTACTACTAGCTTTTTGCTGGTCAATTGGCAGTATGAGTCTCACAGACTTTTCTTGTCCAGGCTGTCTTTGAACCTCAATCCTCAGATTTCAGCCTCCTGAGTAGCTAGGATTACAGATGGGAACCACAGGGGCCTGGCTTGTTCAGATTCTTAATTCAAGATTTTAAATCAGATAATAATAAATAATAAAACCACAGGGGTCAACAAATGCATACGATTAGTAGCAATCTAAGTAGTTAAAATAATTCTTCCTAGAAAGCATTCATTCCTCTGTCTTATTGCTCTGAATAGATAGGCTCTACCTCACCTTTAACTTAAATTACTAATATGGATGCTTTCCAAATAAGTGTAATGACTGAAGTACATATACACCTACACATATATACCCAAGAGACACATTCAATCGCACTTGGGTCTTCACTGCCTTTGAAGTTGGTCAAAGGGTCAAAGGGGGGAACCATTAAATATAGATCTAATTACTTACAAAAAATCCAATAAAGTATTCTTTTGCACAAAGGTTTTCCAGAATGTTCTTCTCACACCGGAGGCATTCTTTTGGGCCCCTAGGGTGGGCAGTGGGAGAGTGGGCTGCTGGGCAGGAGAGCCCCACCCAGCCTCAAACTGTGCTGTACCTGGAGCTTTGCTGTATTGGGATTGCTCTGTGCATTTTTCCCGGAAGGAATTCTGCCGTTCTTAGGAAGAAAAATTATGTAGAAAGAAAGGAAGAGAAAGACACATATAACATTCACGACTCATTCTTGGTGAATTTCTCATAATAGCCAGTAGATGGCAAACTTGACTACATGAAGAAAACAGTTACACAGCTTGTACAACTGGCCTGAAAATATCGATTACTTTGCACAACCAGTAAAATTTTCTACTCTGAATCTAAGTTTTGTATGAAAACTAGAAACAAAGCTCCCTAGAGACTTTTGCCTGGGAACTAAATGCCCATTAAAACTTGAAATGATCCTGTAAGATTTTTTTTTTCAATCTCTTCACTATTAAAATTATTTTATTGTTCACTGAGATCATACACCATGTGCTAGGCATTAATAATGTATTACATTTTGTTTTTTTATAAAGCATTGTGCATAAACATATTCCTTGTACTCTGCTTTTATGTTCTAAGTTGGTTATTTAATTACTTAATTTTAATTAGTTGGTTTTAGTAATCAAGCCAGTTATGATGGCACATGCCTGTAATCTCAGCAGTGGGGGGCTGAGGCAGAAAGATCATGAGTCAGAGACTCATGAAAATTCCATAAACCGAAGTTCCTTTATACATCGGAAAACTGGAATTTTCTTTGGGGCAGGTAGTCGTCCAGTTGATTCGTGGACAAAGCTGTGGCATTAGTTATAATGTCCACATGTTGGACTGCAGCCCTGAATGGCCCATTAGCATCTAGACACACGGCCACCAAACTACGTGGCTAATGAGGATGTTCTACTATTCGTGCCACGGCTCTACTTCTAGCTTTTTGATGGTTCATTGGTGGTATGAGTCTCAAAGACTTTTCTTGTCCAGGCTCTTTGAAGTGAGTCAGCCTACGATGATACAAAGTGTTCTTATCTCACTGATTCAGCAATGCTATCAAAATGACAGGAGCGCGGGGTGAACAGCCACACTTCCCTTCTTCCCACCCACTCCTGCTCCTCAAGCCCTGTGTTCATTCCCCAGAAGTCCCTAAGGCGCTTCTAGGTCTTTCTTCTGCTTTTAACTCACATTAGCAGCCAGGCGCAGTGAATGAGGACCAAGTGAGGATTGAGTAGGCTTTCTACACAGCTTGGACAATGTTCTGTGGCTGGGAAAATTAAATTGCCAGATCATAGTATATTTCTCAGCACACAAGATTGAGAAACTGAAAATGAAAATTCAGCTTGGTGTTAGTGGTTCACGCCGCTCATCCTAGCTACCTAGGAGGTTGAGATCCAGGATCATTGTTCATAGCCAGCCTGGGGCAGGAAAGTCTATGAGACCCCTATCTTCAATGAACACCCACCCCCCCCAAACTGGAAGTGAGCTGTGGCTCAAAGTGGTAGAGCATCAGCCTTAAATAAAAAAGCTCAGACACAGCACGCAGGCCTCGAGTTCAAGCCCCACCACCACCAATCCATCCATCCATCCATCCATCCATCCATCCATAAAATGCTGTGGCCATGAAATGTATACATTTAAGGAATTTGATATTTGTACCATTGTAGCCAATTAACGTGGAAAGGGGCATAGAATGTTTTTCTGGAGGCCCTTATTCCAATTACATTTTCATAATATATGCCTAGGACAGGGATTAATTGGGCTTTGTAACCCGTTTCCTAGGGACGTCCCACGAGAGAGCGTGAACATCAACCCCGCAGCGGGCAGTGAGGGTTAAGGCCGCTTCCTTCCTTCCCCTCACCCCGCTGAGCTGCAGCCCCACCAGGGAAATGAGAAGAAAGAGCCTCGGTCGTCTTCGTTTCTTTTATCAAACTTAAAAAAAAAGTGTTCTCCTTAAGTAGCTGTACGGAAGGTTGACCCAAGGCGTCAGGCTGAGCTCGCCGCATCGATCGCTGTCGCTGCCCATCCCCTCAAATCCCATCTTCTCGGTGCCGTCCACTTCTGTTTCTGATTAGCAACTGTAGAAAAGTTTTTGACAGATGTGGACTTAAACCATCGTTAGGTGCAGACTGCTGTGCCTTCATTAATGCATGCATTGAGGTGGTAGGCAGGTCAGAAAGTTCACCTCAACCCATGGGTAGACTACGTCTTGATAGACATATATATTTATTGAATAAGTCTTGATATATATATATATATACTCATTTTATTATATATTTCACTTAAGTCTTGATAGCTATATTTATTAATTTTATATATTTCATTTAAGTCAATACATTTATTAATTTTATTATATGTCATTTAAGTCTTGATATATATTCATTCATCTTATTATATATTTCATGTAAGTCTTGATATATATTTATTCATTGTATCATATTTTTAGCATATAATTTACATATTATATATTTAAGTCTTGATATATTTATATTATATATGTAATTTAAGTCTTCATATATATCTATTAATATCAATTATAGATATCTATATAGATAGTAATATCTATTAATATCAATTATAGATATCTACATAGATATTAATAGATGTATATGATAAATATAGATATATAGATAGATTATAATATATAGTAGATATTAATAGATATATAATAATATATCATAGATTAATAGATTGTGGTATAGATAGATATTACTCTATTAATAGATATGAATAGGTATCTATACAGACTATAGATACGTATTAATAGATACGGTGGTAGGTATTATAGATGTCATTTAAGTCTTGATATCCATTGTCTTTGTTTCCCTTTTCTCCCTCGCAGACGCTTCTGCAGCGGAAACGGCACCGGCTGCTCCGCGTCCCGCGGCCGCCGCCCGGGGTGGGCCTGCGGCCCGAGCGGCTGCGGCCACGGCGGGCTGTGCGGCCCGGGCCCCGGCGGGCCGGCCTGCGTCTGCCCGGCCGGGCGCTCGGGTGCGAGGCCGCGGCGGCCGCGTGCGCCTCGGGGCCCTGGGGCGGCGTGCCGGGGCGCGGGCGCCAGCTACGCCTGCTTCTGCGTGCCGGGCTTCCAGGGCGGCCGCTGCGAGACGGACGTGGACGAGTGCGCCTGGGGCCTGCGCGCCGCCCGCCGCCTGCCTCCACCGCCCGGGCCGCGCGGGGCCGCGTGGGGACGTGCGGGGCCGCGGGGACGTGCGGCCGGGGGCCTGCCGTGATCATCACTCCTGCTATTATTATTATTAATTATTAATTACTATTGCAATTATTATTACTATTGCTATCATTATTACTATTATTGCTATTATGACTATTGCTATTATTATTACTATTATTACTATTGCAATTATTTCTATTATTGCTACTATTGCAATTATTTTTACTATTGCTATTATTATTACTATTATTGCTATTATTATTACTATTGCAATTATCATTACTATTATTATTGCCATTGCAATTATTGTTATTGCTATTATTACTATTATTGCAATTATTGCTATTCTTATTGTTATTATTTTAGCTAGCAGTGAAGATTGAGCTGAGCAGGCTTGCTTGGGAAAGTAGTGAATCAACTTAACCCCATCCCCCACTATTTTATTTTAGTCGTTTATTTAGTCGTTTTTCTTCTTAGATACGTCCTGAGCCCAGGGATCCTGTGACCTCTCTGCCTCCTAAGCAGCTGGGGGTCCAGAAGAAGATGCGGTCTCTCTACCTTTGCCTGGGCTCATTTCAGACCCGCTCTCCTCCTATCTCTGACCACCAAGTCGCTGGCATTACACATGTGAGCCACCACTATCACCCCCAAAAACAAGTCCTGGACAGGCATTAATGACTACTAAACTAAAAGGCTTTCTAGTCTATCAAAAGGTGGCTGAATGCCCTGAACTGTGAGCCGGTCACTTCTTCAGTTTTAGCTAGAATGCCACATATCTCAAACTTAGATTCAGTTTTTGAAGAATAAACAATATTGGATTATGTGTGCATGTGTATTCTGTTGTGTGTATACATGTATGCATGCATGTATTAAAAATTTTTCAAGTCTGTATCTGTTGATGGACACATCTAGGTTGTATCAGATTCCTGTCATTCCTTTTCTTTCTTTTCTTTTTTGTACCAGTCCTGGGGCTTGAGCTCAAGTCCTGGCACTGCCCCGGAGATTCTTTCGCTGAAGGCTAGCACTCTACCACTTGAGCCACAGCACCACTTGTGGCTTTTTCTACGTAGTTAATTGTAGATAAGAGTCTCGTGGACTTTCCTACCCAGGCTGGCTTCAAATTGTGATCCTCTAATCTCAGCCTCCTGAATAGCTAGGATTATAGGGCATTAGAGCCCAACCTTTCATTTCCTTAAAAAAAATGTATATTAATTGTTTACAAGCGTTTCACCCATGGCATTTCACACCTGAATGTGTAAAGCATTAGACTCCCTGGCTTACTTGCCTCTTGCTCATCTTTACTACACCCTTTCTGTTTTGTAGAAAACTGAATTTTCTTTAAAGAACAGGGAGAATTTGGCAGTGAATCCATTGGGTCTTGGCTTTTCTTCTTGGTGAAACTTTTACTGCTTCGATCTCACGGCTTGTTGTGGAGCTGTTTAGTTGGTTTATATCTTCTTGATTCAATTTTAGTATGTCAGGTGCATCTAAAAATGCATCTATTTTTTCTGGCTTTCTAGTTTTGAAAGTATTTTTTTTTTTCATGATGTAGCTTTCACTGGTATTTATTGTGTTATCTCTGATTTCATCTCTAACTTTATTTATTTGGAATTTTTCCCTCCTCCTTGTACTTAGATTTGGTGAGCATTTTTATCCATCTCATTTATCTCTTCAAAAATCTTTCTGTTTTGCTAATTCTCCATATAGATTTTTAAGTCTCTATTTCGTTGATTTCTGTCCTAACCTTTACAATTTCTTTCCATCTGCTAATTTGGGGCTTCATTAGTTCTATTTCTAGGGGTTTCAGGTACATCGTTAGGCCGTTTTTCCTTAAATGTAGCTCTTTTTTCCTTAAATGTGGATGTTTATAGCAATAAACTTTCCTCTTCACGCTGCCTCTGCTGTATCCCAAAGATCTTGGCAGGTTTATGTTCTCATTTCCGTCGGTTTCTAGGACCCCATGATTTCCCTCCCATTTCTTCAGGATCATTGCTCACCAATGTGCTGTTCACACTCCAGGTGTTTGAATATTCTCAGTTGTTTCTTTTGATGTTGAGTTCTAGCTTTACCCTAGTATGTTGCGATAGAGTACAGAGTTGTATGTATAAGATTTTATGTCTGAAGATATGGTCTAGTTTGGCAAAAATTCCATAGACTGTTCCATAGAATGTGTAGAGTATAGCTGTGTAGATTTCTGTCTAGTCTATTTGGTCTATAGTGTCATTTAGTTCTGAGGTTTCTTTGGGCTGGTTAACCTATCTGTTGGTGATAAGAAGGTATTGAGGTTATTTACTCTCATTGTTTTGGAGTTGCTATCTTGTTGTTTGCTTGTTGTCTAATACTGGGGCTGGAACTGAGGGACTCTTGTTCTTGCTTCCTTTTTTTTTTTTTTGTCAGTCGTGGGGCTTGAACTCTGGGCCCAGGTGTTATCTTCCGCTTAAAGCAACCACTCTACCACTTGAGCCACAGCACCACTTCCGGTTTTCTGGTAGTTTATTGGAGATAAGCGTCTCACAGACTTTCCTGCCCAGGCTTGCTTTGAACTGTGATCCTCAGATCTCAGCCTCTTGAGCAGCTAGGATTACAGACAGGAAACACCAACACCTAGCAATAGGTAGATTTAGCTTTTCCCTCACCCTTTTACTCCAAGCCAATGATTATTTTTGTCAATAAAATACATCTCTTATAGGCAACAAATAGGTCATGATTTTTAATTCAATACATTCCATGTCTTCTTTAACTTGTGAATTAAGACTTCTAATGCTCAATGCTCTTATTGAAAGGTGCACAGTAATTGCTGCTTTTTTTGTTGTTTTTTTCCTTTCGTATTCCTCATTTGCTCATAGGCTCATCTGGAGGGATTTATTTTATCCCCTATTTTCCACAGTTACATTTAGCTTCCTCTTCTGGGTGTATTGTGCTAGGTAAGTGGTCATAATTTGATTTCATTTTTGTATCTCCTAGAGGATTTCTATTTTTTACGCCCTCCCCCCAGTTATGAATGGGGGGTTGATGGGTTTTTGCCTTTTACTGTTGCAAGGGCATCATTCTATGCCCTCCTTGCTTCTGGTAAGAAATCTAGTATTCTGCCAGGCTTACCTTCATTTGTGACTTGGTGCTTCTCTGTTGCTTACAGAGTTATTTTACACATGACATGTTTTAATCATGGCATGTCTTACAGTGATGCATTTCTTGTTTGGTCTATCAGGTGTCTTAAAAGCCTTCTATTTTTTTTTATTTTTTTATTTTTTGCCAGTTGTGGGGCCTGAACTCTGGGCCTGGGCACTGTCCCTCAGCTCTTCAGCTCAAGGCTAGTGCTCTACCACTTAAGCCACAGCGCCACTTCCAGCTTTTTCTGCTATGTGGTGCTGCGGAATCGAACCCAGGGTCTCATGCATGCAAGGCAAGCACTTTACCACTGAGCCACCTTCCCAGCCCAAGCCTTCTATATTTCAATGGCAGTTTCTTGCCAAAGATTTGGGGAAATTTTCTCCTATTAGATCACTGGAGATATTTTCTATTCCTTTAGCTTGCATATCTTCTCCTTCTGCTAAGCCCATGAGTGTTAAGTTTTACCTCTCAATACTATCCCGGAGATTTTCTATATCTTTTTTATCTCTCTTTTCTTTCATCTAATTGTCCTAACCTATCTACCTTATTCTCAAGACCTGATATTCTGCCTCCAGTTTGATTCACTGTACTGGAGAGACTTCACAGAGTTTTAATTATTGAGTGGAATTACTGAGCTTTTCATTGCCAGAATTTCAGTTTGGTTCTTTCCTCTGATTTCTGCATCTTTATTAAATTCTTCTATCATGTATTGTTTGCCTTCTACCATTTAGTTGCTTATTTATCTGAGCTTCTGTTTATTTGTATAATTTTTGAATTAATTCATCTTTTTATACATGCCCTCTTTCATTTCGTTGATATTTCTTATGATTATGCTTTTGAGTTCTTTTAGTCTTTCTTCCTCTTCGCTATCCTTAGTGTTTTTTGCTAAGTGTGATTGTTGATCTTTAGAAGTGTCCTGTTGTCTTTTTAAATATATAGATAGAGATACTCTATCTATCTATCTGTCTATCGTGTATTGCTGTATTGGGATTTATACATCTCAGGCAAATTCATTGGTTGGTGATTTTAATTCCCGATAGCCTTAATTTGATGCCTTCACTGTTTTAGGAAGGATTTGGTAGTGGGAGGGATGCTGTGGAGTTTCTCCTTTGTGGACTGGGGAAAAACTCAGTTTCTGTGTGCCCACGTGTTCCTGGATACTAGTGCTGGTCCTTTCTGCTTCCTTCCTCCCTCCTCCCTCTCTTCCACTCATGGATGAGAATTAGATCACATTTCTTGCATTTTCCTGTGCGTGGATGGGGGTTATTTGTGAGTTCTGAGCAGCTCTGGTTAAAGGTCCATTTTCCACTTGGGTGCTGCTGCTACCTTAGAAGCTTCCCATCTTTGTGCATTGGAAGCTACTGCTGATTGCAAAGTGCTTTTTAGTATGTGGGTCACTCAAATTTCCACGTGTCCCACATGTTCCCCTATTTGTGTACCTTGTGGCAGTGCATAGTCAACTTTTGGGCTGACCCTCAAAGATGAAGGGGATGAACACTGAGTTCTGTATGGTGTCAGAGAACCGAGGGACTCCTGTTTTCTGCCTAAAGGTCTCCATTCTTTCCAAGCCCACACTGTGAGAAGCATGGGTGTGTGTGTCTGTGTGTCTGTCTCCCAGGCTTTGTACTTTCTTGGAATCCTTACATGATGGCCAGCCTGCAAAGCCATGAGATAGCTGACAGGTCCTAAGCTTTGAGCACGCTGCCAGCCAGACATTTGGCCTGCACAGATGCTCAGATACATAGCAATGACACCAAGCAGGTGCATTTCTTAAAGCTCATTTTCAATTGTTTTTGTCTAATAGGTATAGGCTTATATTTGTATATAATAGTGAAAATAGTGAAGTCATTGGTGTTTCAAACATCTGTTCTGTAGTTTTCCAATGTGATTTTTCTCACAGTCAGGCTCTGTCCTCTCCTGCCACCGACATCGCCATTTCTCACTTAGGACATTTTCTCATGAAGATTATCTATTGTATTTTTTTTCTTTTTGCTTTGCTTTGTCTCTGGACTTCCCAACGACATATCAGGGGGAACTCACAGACTTCCATTCTCGCCTCTTCTGACCCACCTCCGCTGGCCTTTCACCCCTGAGACACCATCCCATGTTAATGCCACTTTCTTAGACCATGAGGAAACTCTGGTATCTCTGTGTGGCACTGGGGTTTGAACATACCTTATTCTCTCAACTCTTATTCCTTCATTTTGTCCTTTTTTTTTGCCAAAGTATGTTAAACAGTATCATTATTTAGAAAATATTCTTTAAAATATACATCAAAACTACCGCAGAGTCATCTTCTACTGATACCACATATTCTGGAAAGACTTATTTTCAAAATAGACATATCCTTGGTTGCTCTGACTTAATATTTGCTCATCCCTTACCTATCCATAAGCTAGTCTTCAGGCCAGGCACTGGTGGCTCACGCCTGTAATCCTAGCTACTCAGGAGGCTGCATTCTGAGGATCAAGGTTCAAAGCCAGCCCAGGCAGGAAAGTCCATAAGACTCTTATCTC